CACATGTTCTGGAAGAAGAAGCATGGGAACAAAAAGTTAGTCTCCTTTTGGTAGGATCACATCTTAAAATGATGAAGACATCTACAAAGAAGGTATGTGTGCTTGAAAAAGTAAATAACACCATCAAACACTTACCAATTATACCTGTCAAGGTCTCAGGTGGGAGTTGAGGTTTGTGGCTATCTTCTCCAGTAAAGGCGCTCCTCCGGCCCTGCAGAGAGTGTGTGCCCAGTGTTTCTCTGTCAAAGAGTATCATCAGCAGAGCCGACGTGTACTTTTTGTAGTCTCCAATCTCTGCGATGCGCTCATAAAGAGTTTTTGGTACTCGAAGAGTCTCAGAGAGGTACAGGTAGTTGACATCGTCCTGAAGGCAAAATAAAATCTAAATGTTAGCTGAAGATGCTTTAATCGCTGAATCTGTTAAAAGTATAAAATACTGTTAACCTGAGCTGAACAACAATCAACATTTTGAAACAGGAGTGCTGACATATAGTTATCCCTCCTAGTGTGTCCAAGTGGTATTATATTATTATTATTATTATTATTATTATATATTGTTAGGACCGCTGTGGCACAGGAGACCAGAAGGCTTTCTAAATCGCTCAGAGCAGACTCCTAGTGAAACAGCATGGTGATGAAACACTAATATACAAATTAATGAATTGTGTCACCTGCTGACTTTTGGAGCTAGTGCTAGCAGTGCTGCATTTTTTTACCACGGCTTTGTGCAGTAAATTGAGCCTTCACTTCCCAGGAGATCTACATAGTGGCCAATATAATTGCATGGTGCAAGCAAGGTTATGGGGAACCAAACTACATGCTTTAGTGTTATTATTTTTAAGGATTACTAAGGTGAACCAGGCAATCTTCCCAAAATGGTGTTATTAGAAGACATGGAGTATGAGCACTGACCTCTGGGAGGATATCATGATCCTCTCTCATCTCCCCCTCGGTCTCTCCCAGGAAAGAGACGGTTTCATCATGAGAGATGTTGGATCCTGCTGCTGCTGCCTCGCCTCCTTGGATCACATGATCCAGAGTGACTCGCAGTTCATGAGCGGTGTGCCTCATCTGCATCATGAGAGTGTTCATCTCTGCAAAAGGTGTCAGATCACTTTAGAAAAGCTGAAACAAAGTAAGTTTTTAAACGGGGTAATTAGCATTAGCTGGCAGGTTTTATTTAATTATATTTTTTATTTTTATTTTTGACTCAGGATTTTAGCAGCAGTCAAAAACTTCTGACATGCAAAAAGCCAAACTTGATAAAGTATCTATAAAAACAAATTATTATTTTCTATTTAAATGATCATATCTTATCTCCCTACATTGTGGTTTGAATGCCTTCTATGTTTATTAAAAAAACACATTATTTAGATTATATTAAATAGCACTTATACAGTTCTGAATTTTTGATAATGTTTCCGAAAAAAAGGTATGCAATTTAAAGCAAATAATAATTTCATTGGATGAAATGCTCAATTTATCACACATAGACATTGTAATAAATGTTCATGTAATTGCTGGAAACTTAATTCTCAAAAATGTTGTGCTTGTCTGTAAAACATTTTTACATTTTTGCAGGATCTGCTGTGCACTGACTAAAAGACTCTATAGGTTACACTAGCAATTCATTGAAACTAGAAGTGTAACGATAACATTAACAATAATTTATTTCTTATTATTTTGTTCCAAATAACAAATTGCCTTCTTTGAAATACATCAAAAAATAACAAACACCAAAAACAAAGCATTATGTGTAAATTGACTATTATTTTCCCCAATTGTTTTGTTCTAAAAAATATCAAAATCAACCATAATGTATGTATTAATAGTAATACTTTTCCACCCACCTTTGAGCTCCCTCAGCTCTCTCTCGGCCAAAATTCTACATCTGCGTTCATACTTGAGTTGTGCCTGCAGTTGCTCTATTTTCATGAGGAGGCTGACGGTGTCTGTTCTGATGCCTGGGCTTGCAATATTTTCTTCTTCAAATTCAATGTTTTCATGCTGCCAAATGAGAAAGAAAAAAAACCACATGAATAACTCCAAGTGTAGTGAGGCAAACAACAGTTGTTTCATGCACAACAAATAGCACCTCTCACCTCGTTGTTGGGAAAGGGGGAGTAGCTGGACCCCTCCGCCAACCTGTACTTATCCTCTACTGTTTCACAACCAAACCCCTGAGCATCAGGGCCGATTTTTATCATCTTTACTGGGGGTTGTGAAGGAGTCGCTCCTGCGTCTCTCTTGGGTGGCATGGGGGTGGAAATAAATATCTGGGTAGACAAAAGATTTAATTATTTGACACATCAAGTATGGCACGGTATTTTTGCACACGCTGTAGTCAAACTTTGAATGAAACTTTTTCAGTCGTTGTTTATCTCTTTACAGTGAGTCAATCGAGACAGAAATGAAAAGTTAGTTCAGATCGCATCCCCCCCTCCTTCTGCTTCCTCAACCCCTCCTACTAGCTTCTTCCAGATTGCCTCCAGCTGAAGCCACAGATACAACTGTCTTTCAAAAATACATTCTCAAATACATGTACTATTCAATGTTACGCGGTTTAGAGAGAGGAGGCTCACCTGGCCGTTCAGCTATACTTCACGGAAAACTGTAACCACACACTCAGGAAGGATAGCAGCGAAGTACATGCAAATACTGCGTAGTAGAGGAAGTACCGGTAGTAGTACTACTGCAGTACTACTGCTATTAGATCCTGATACAAATACGACTATTTTTATTCAACAGCGGCACTAAATGTTTCCGGTTAAATATCAGTGAAATACCGCTCCTGTATTTCTATTTTACTGTGTATGGTACACGTGTGTATATGATTGCTGTCATGAGAAATATATATTTTTACAATTAAGTGCGGAACTAAGATGCGTAAACTCATTCCCCGAGGGAAGTATTTTACCCCAGTACAGTTTCCTGCTCACTTAAAATCCTATTTCACCCAATGAAAATGCAGCGTCTGAACCAAAGGCGGGACGTGTAGGAGGAACTGTGAAGACCAGTAATAAGAACGAGACCAGCCAATTAGCAGCTGTCTTCCTACGTGACGTCAGCTTCCTGGTTTGGTTGCACTGCACTGTACCCATGTGGGTTTGGTGTTGACTTGCTGCTTTAGAAAGTTAAGGAGCTAGCTCTATCTACATTTATCATTTACTTAATCGCGTTTCACCATGTCTTCGCCTTTCTTTATAAAGGCAAAAGTAAACCCCAAATTTGCCAAAAAGGGAAAACCTGCAACAGTGCTAAAACGAAAGGTAAGTTCGCCGGACCTAGCTACTAAGCTAAATCCCAGTAACGTTAGCTAACCACAGGTTGACACATGTGTTTTCACTATAATAACCTGCTGTGTCTACCCAGTCACGAATGCAACATCATTGTATGCCATTACTAACCCTGTATGTTATTGTTGTGCTGCAGGGTGATGGAGACCCAGGAGGAAAGGGTAAACCAAGAGCCAAGAAACTCATCTCCAAACACAACGAAGAGATTTCCAGCGACTCTGAGACAGAGAGGTAATTTTCCGATGTGTTTGTTTGGGTTATGGTATGGATATGACCAGTAGATCGTTCAACATTTGAAGCACATCACTAACCCAGGTGTTTTGCTTTTGTTTCTTGTTGCTCAGTCCTATAGTGGCCAGGAAAAGACAGACCATTGAAAGGGATGATTATGATGAAACACCACAGGAGAAGAAGCTTAGATTAGCCAAACTGTACCTAAACCAGCTAAAGGAAGAAGGTAAACTTGATTATCTATGCAGCATAACCTAGAGGTCTGACATTACTTCTATACTTGTGTGTATTAATTGTGTGACTTAATTTGTCAGAGGACGATAAAGCAGAAGATGACGCCTTTGAGACTGATCTGGTTGCTGGAAGACTTCAAGATGAAGTGGTAAGAATGTCTTCTGTACTAAAGCATATCGTAGAAGAGCATGTCACTTCTACTGGGGACATGGGACATGACCCTCTTATTTTTCATAATCCCGTTTCTGTCTGTTTGCGAGCCCCCTTGAACTTTGTCAGTTTATTAACATTGCAGTTTAAGTTTGATCACTTAATCTCTAGACTAATATAAAACTCTAAGCACTTTCTTTCCCACATTAAGGCATATTTAGTGATTGACACATGTACTACATTCAGAAGCATTTCCATGCTTGAATCTGCACATTGACGACCATAAAAGGTGACTAGGTCTTGAGTTGGGAAATTCGTATTACAGATATCACTGAATATTGATTTATGTTCCAATCCACACATGAACCCATGCAGGTTGTTGTTCCTGAACATTTAAGATATGTGTGAACTAAACGGCTACCATCATTTACAGGAGGGGATCGCTGAGCAGAACAAAGCGTTGATCTTGCATTTATTCATTAGCGTTTGCTGCAATAGGCTTTATATGGAATTTCCCCTTAGTTTGCACTTCTCAGACTAAATGTAGTCTGATTTCTCAGTTCTGCAGACACATGTCATGGCTGATAAAACTACTGGCACTAGTGATGAGGAAAATGAAGCTTTCTGAAACACTATTTAGCACATTTTGTCGAGTGCACTCTATTGTTTAAAAGTCACAAATACCATTTAAGCTGTCAGAGTATCATGTGTTTGTTTGGGTGTTAACTTCTCCTCACCTAACTCATGAAACTAGTTTTCTGTGAGAATGTATTCTGGAGGATCAATTGCCGTATGGTCTTCAACTTGCTGTGTATGTGATTCCCCCCCTCAGCTTGAACAGAAAGGAAAGCTTCAGAGACTTATTGCCAGAGATGTAAGTACAGCAAATGTTATCGCTTCAATATCCACACTATGTTCAATATTATAAAGGAAATCTGTTTATAAACAGACTGACATTGATTTTCAATCTTTCTTTTAGATCATGGCACCAGATGCTTCAGAGATCAGAGTGTTGAGAGGACACAAACTTCCAATTACCTGTCTGGTCATCAGCTCGGATGACAAGTACATCTTTTCTGCGGCCAAAGACTGCTCCATTATTAAATGTAAGTCAACACCCAAATTCTGAAATCCCTTCAAATAAGTATGTGTGGAAATTGGGGAAAGTAACTAAATATGGATATGAATAAAATGTGCCTTGCTGTTGAGGCTCATGGTTTGATTTTGCAGTCTTAATGGAATGTTTGCTCATATTTCAGGGGATTTTGAGAGTGGAAAGAAACTGCACACGATACATGGTGGAAGGAAAGGCACAGAGGATCGGCATGTTGGACATACAGCCCATATCCTGTGTATGGCCATATCATCAGATGGGAAATACTTGGTGAGTAGTACTCTCAGCCTATCCGGCCTTTTTACCAGCAGTCTCATAAAGTGTGCCCTCATATTGTAACAGAAACCTATTTATCCACATCTTTTAGGCCACTGGAGACGTGAACAAACTGATCATGATCTGGGAGGCAAAGACATGTAAACATCTTTATAAGTTCACCGGACACAAAGGCCCAGTGTCGGTATGTTCTCTCTCTAATCTTTTTTTATTTTACAAGTTACCTACTGTAGTTATATTGAGGCTCTGAGGTCCTAGGGGTCGACCGATTATCGGGGCCGATATTCACATTTGACAGATTATCGGTATCGGCTTTTTTAAAATCAAATTGCCGATACGACTTTGGCTCTGATGCGGCCGTTTCTCTGGCTGCAGTCACCACTGTTCACGAGCAATGTCTCGCCCACAGCGCTATCTGATAGGCTATTACTGAAGTGTCAATCAACACTGAAGATTTTCCAGGCTGCAGCCAGCCAGAGAGGCGGGACCTTTTCAGATTACAGGCAGGTGCGAAGAACGCAGACACAGACAGAAGCAAGCAGCAGCAGTGAGCGGTGTTTCGAAGGTCAATCAGTTGAAAGCCGAAGTTCAATAAACATCCCAATCCCCTATGCTGAAGTTGCAAAAACACCACGATCTTATGATCCAATTCTATCAGTTTCCCAGTTACACAGGGACAGGGGGGGGAGGAACTGGGACGACTGTGACGGCTGCTAGTGGAGCCTCGCAGCAACTCTGCTTTCTGCACCACAATCTGGTGCTGCTGAACTGGGACTACTAAATGAGTGAGACTCAAATATCAGAAGTTCAGAACAAGTTTTAGTAGTTTTTATTTGATTTTTACTTCATTTACTTTACTCAGGGTCACAGAGAGGAAACCAGTTTTAAGATGTTGAAAGGTTCATTAAACATAAAAAGGCATTTCAAAGAAGTTCTGTTATTCTACATTTTGACACCAAGATTTTCTGATTTACTGCAAATGTATATCGGTTCCAAATATCGGTTATCGGTCTCCTTGATTACTAATAATCGGTATCGGCCTTGAAAAAGCCATATCGGTCGATCCCTAGTCCTGTCATATCATATGAAATGTGTTTTCTCTTCTCAGGGTCTTTCATTCAGAAGGGGAACTCACGATCTGTACAGCGCCTCTCACGATCGCTCAATAAAGGTGTGGAATGTGGACGAGAATGCATACGTGGAAACTCTGTGAGTAACTTCTCAGAAAAGGCTTTGACCAACAACACTTGTATTCTGTTTGAAAGTGTGAATGTAACTGTGATTGTGACTTTCTACAGCTTTGGGCATCAGGACGCCATCACCGGACTGGACTGCCTGAGCCGGGAGTGCTGCGTGACGTCGGGGGGGCGGGACCGCTCGGTGAGGGTGTGGAAGATACCCGAGGAATCCCAGCTGGTGTTCCACGGACACGAGTGAGTCTGCCTGTCTTCACTCGGTTCAGACCGTAGAGCACTTTGATTGACCAATCAAAGTCGAGATTTAAACGTGTAATGTTATTTAGTACAAAAATGGGTGTTGGGATGATATATTGTGACCTCTCTTTTGCCGACAACCATTTTAATGTCCTGGGCCCAGGAGTTCAAAACTTTTAATCCCTATCTGATCAGATCAGATTTGGATTTTGGGGAGTTCAAAACCAAAAAACAGGATTAGGATCACTTTGATATCCGATCAGATCAGGAAATCCAATCCAAGCTTTAATCTGGATCAAATCTTCAAAACGGGTAGTTCAAACCGACAACACAGGATTGGGATCAGTTTGATCCCAAAAAACTGGATTATCCTGATCCGACCAGAGGGGTGGATTTCCAGTGGATTACCAGAGCAAAATGTACTGTACCATTTATTTAAAAATATGTTTCAATATAAATAAGATGGCAAAGTTTGTTAACTGAAATAATACACAATTTTTAGCCTTCATGGCAAATCAATTTTATTTTTTCATTTTTTGGTCACGTTTGTGGTGGCCTATTTTGTTTTCAACCAAATGTTGACATTACATTACATTGCATTTAGCTGACGCTTTTATCCAAAGCGACTTACAATAAGTACATTCGACCAGGAAGACACAACCTTGAAGAAAACAGAATCATATAAGTACATCAGGTTTCATAGAGCCAAACATTTCAAGTGCTACTCAACTGGCTTTAGGTAAGCCAGTCCTTTATTAGTATAAAAGTGCTTCGTTAATAGTTCTAACGCTCGAAGTGGAGTCGAAAGAGATGAGTTTTCAGTTTGCGCCGGAAGATGTGCAAGCTATCTGCCGTCCTGATGTCAATGGGGAGCTCATTCCACCATCTTGGAGCCAGGATAGCAAACCCACGTGTTTTTGCTGATGGGAACTTGGGTCCCCCTCGCAGCGAGGGCGCAGCGAGCCGTTT